TTCCAGGCCAGTCAGGACTACAGAGAGACCCTGTCTCTAAAATAAAAAAGAGCACAGACCAGCCAGGTCCAAATCCACCACTTGCATAGTGATCTTTGGCAAGTGACTTAACCTCTCTGTTTATCTGTGTGTTTATTTACCAGGATTACATGATTTTAAATATGTGGAATAGTTAAGAGGACATATCTAATAATGCATTTGCAGTTTTCCCCCATAGCATGGTGCTCTCAAAGTGGCATTTGTTAATACTGTCGGGGAAAGAGCAGACTTCCACTCAGAAGACCTGGACGAGCCCCTTAGTTCCCCATTTCTTTTCTAGAAAACGGAAAACATTTTTTACTGTCTGTTTAGTAAATAGGGATCCCGAAGAGTCACAGGGGTGTCTTTGAAAAGCTTGTATGCCACGTATGTGGATTGCTTTGTTGCTTTTATTTTATGATGACGACAACAACGAGGACCATGACAGCAATTACTGCTATTTTGATAAAGGGAGAGTTAAACCCACGTCAGCCTGTGCGCCATCAGTGAGCTATGCCTCTGTCCTGCGGCTTTTCTTTGAATCCTGACCAGACCGGTTTCTGCTATGAGAGCTGGGCTGTGCCAGGGGAAAAGCTGGGCTCACGAAATGGGCCCGACCCTTTGATTCCTCCAGAGACTGAGCCCTTGTTCTGTCCACTTTGTCTCTAGCTAGAACAGAGATCTGCGATTGGCTTCCTTTCCTTCTGTCAGTTGTATCTGCCTGAGCTGCTGGATGAATTGATGTATTTCCAGAGTTACTTGATCAAGGACCCTGGGGTAGGGGATTTATCTGACAACTACTTGCAGAGTATTCAGCACGGGTCCCATAGTAATGAGAAGGGAGCCGGCTGCGGGTATTAAAGGTTGATACTTGCACAGCAGACCAGCAAAAACTACATAGTGATTTTAAAAATTTAAGACCCTGGAGCCGGATAGATGGCTCAGCAGTTAAGAGTGCTCTTCTAGAGGGCCCGAGTCTAGTCCCCAGCAACCACATTGCGTGACTCACAACTGCCTGTAACTCCAACTCCAGAGGAATCAGATCCCTCCATGGGCACCCATAATCACGTGCGTGTGTGCACACACGTAATTAAAAGTAATAAAATAAATCTTCATAAATCCAAGACCCTGGTATAAAAATGTCACTCCTTTTGAACAGTGATTCTTGAGTTACTGTAGAAAACCACTCATGAAAGCATAGAGATGTCAAATGGGTGAGGAGGAACCTTCCTCTGAAGAGTGAAGGGTGCTCTGTCTTGCTACTGCCCTAGAGATGGGTGCTTCCTAGGCGCTCAATTGGGAGGCTGCGAGCCCTACAAGCAGGGTAGGGGACTCTGTCAACTCCCAGCACTGCAGCAGGGACCTCCCCTAAGGTGGGGACCAGGTTGCAGCTTTCTCTGCTTCCTTCTTCACTCCCTTGTTCAGGAGGCCAGGAAAAGAAATGCCCCTGTCCCAGCTCTGGGATCAGAGAGATGCAGGTCCGCTTGGGCCCCTGTAGTTGGACTTTCTTTGGGCTGCCGTCTCCCCAGTAATGACACAGGGATAATAGTCTGCATTCTGCCCCGTGTTGTTGCCTCTCTTCCATTCAGTACGTCTGACTCGCTCCGTGCCTTGCTGGCATCTCCCATGCTCCTCTCTGTCCCCAGAAGCCCCTCCTATTCTCTACTGCCTAACTATTGCTGTTTAGCTTCTTATTAAACCACTCACAACACTACACCTTCACAAAGTGTGCAAAAAAAAATAAAATCACATAGTATAGACCCAGGCCCCTTTTCTGTGGTCCACGTTATTGAACCTCTGAAAGCCCTGGCTCTAAAGCAAGGATGTGTAGGCAGCATCTTTCTATAAACTGAGATGGTTTGCTGAGCGTTCATGAGAAGATGCCAGCCCAGTGCTTCTCTTAGTGGTTCATGAACAGGAGCCGCTGCTGTTCCTCTTGCCTGCATCTGTTTGCTTTTGAAAAAGGACCTTGCTCGGTAGCGTCAAGCTCACCATCCCCGTCTGTCTTTCGAGGACTAGGGTTATAGGCAGGCATTCCTTCCTCATCTTACCATCTGTCAGCTAAAGCGAAGGGAGATTTCACATTGTAGTGTTCGCGTTCATCCAGACCATCCAGGCTCTTGGCTAGTGACGTATTCTTTATGGTTTAGCTTGGGACACAATCGAATAAACCCAGACAAGGAAGCACAGAAAGTCAGGGAAAGGCAATGACCACGTAACAGAAGATTCAAGAACTCAAAAAGAGCCCCAGGTTCAGAGAGGGTAGAAGGTTCATGTTCTGTCCTTCAGAAACTTTAAAATTAACTTTCAAAATCCCATGCCTAGAGGTTGTTACTTTTTTTTTTTTTTAGGGGGAGGAGGACTGGGGGAAAAATCCCATGCCTAGGAGGTTGTTTCTTGTTTTGTTTTTTAGGGGGAGGGGGTTGGGGGGAAATGCATATGTATCACAAGAGTGTCCCCCCCTTGAGAGCCTAGAGACTGTGTGCCATTGCTACAGTGGAAGCCATTCTTCGTTGTCCCTCATATTACACCCTCCAACCATGCTTTTGGTGTGTGTCATCCTAACCTGTGAGCGGATCAGGAGAGACACAGACATTCCCCTGCCCACTTTCTAGGCAGGTTTTTGACAAGTGTTTTTTGGGGTGGTTGAATGAATCAACAACCAGCGAAAACAATTCTTCCCCAAGAATATTTGAGAGGAGATGCTCGTCACATGTTCTGCTACAGCAGGATCCATGGTTTGAACTGATGAATTTATTGGTCCATGAGAGGACTTCTGTGTCTCCAGTTGTCCCAGAGAAGTCCAGGGGCAGAGGAAGTCTCTCTGTCTGAGCCATGTGAAGGAACCGTGCTACGGAGATGAGAAAGATGGTCGGCAGTCAGAATCAGGGACTGTAGTATTTTTTTCTTGTCCAGATTCTAGTGCGCATCCTCACCACTCCCTCATGATGGTGAGAACACTTCAAAGAGGCATAGCCAGCTCTCAAACCATTCCTCTGACCCTGAAGAATGCCACCTTCCCAGTCATAAAGGCAAAGACACCAGGACATCTTATTCTGAGGATTTGGATCATTTTCTAGATTGAACAAGCAAGGGCAGAACGAAGGAGGCCATGTGCTAACAGCCTTCTAAAGTATCTGCTGGTAACATCAGTTCTATGAGACATTACCAGGTGGGTCACAAACACAGGGTAGTCAGGAAGTTTTGGGCACTCTGAGTCAAAAACTCAACAAATTAATCTGGTCATGGTGGCACATGCCTGTAAACCTAGCACTGGGGAGACAAAGACAGAAAATCACAAATTTCAGGCCTCCCTGGCTTACATAAGAAGATCGCCTCAAAAAAAAAGTAAAATCCAGTAAGTTATTTCATGTGGGATCCCCCCCCCCAGAACCTTTAAGATGTTAACAAGCTCTGTGGATTTCTGAAAGAGGGCTATGAAATATAGAACCTCAGATTCATTTGTCCACAGAAAGCATTGCTTCCTTCCAAGATGACCAAGTAATACATGTGTGGGAAATGTCCAACTTGTACCAGAAAGGTAAAATATTGCATTCAACACCTTTTCTAATCACTTCTAGTTAAGTGGGCCAGTAAGCATGGGTCCATGGGTCCAGCCACACCAGAGCACCCTCCTTGGCGTTACCCTAGTTTTGTTCTACATGGTCTTCCCTCCCTTGCTTGTAGGATGCCTTCTCTACCATGACTAAGCTCAAGGTGCTCAGAAATCCATCCACCACCAGACCCGAACATCTCTGTTCCTCCAAGGAGTCCTGTGGAAGGACCAGGCCATACCTATGCCTGTTCACACTCTAGTGGGTGGGCGAGGGGCATCGTGCTTTACAATTTTCTAAGAGGCCCTGAGGGTCAGAGAGCATAGGTGAAACACTTACCAGAGGCAGATCATTCCCCAAAAGGGTGTGCTGTTTAGTGGGGAGATGGGGGTGCAATTCCTGGGAAGACAAAACACAATGACTGTCTTTGGAAGTATGGCTTGGGGTTTACAGGAGCCTCGCCCTCTCCTGACTTCTGAACTATGTCTCAGCAAGTATCACTTAAATCGAGTGTTGGGAAAAACATTTCATTGTTCTGTTCTGTGACTTCAATTCTTAACCTGACACTTGTATAGTTTGGTTTTAAAAACTAACAGTGACTGGGAATGGAGATATGGCAATAGAGGTAGAACATTTGCCTAGCATACACATGGTCCTGGGATCAACTGGGGGGGAGGGGGGGGAGAGAGAGAGAGAGAGAGAGAGAGAGAGAGAGAGAGAGAGAGAGAGAGAGAGAGAGAGATTACAGTGGTGGCACACATCTTTAGTCCCAGTACTGGGGAGGCAGAGGCTCAGGCAGATCTCTGAGTTTGAGATCAACCCAGTCTACAGAGCATGTTCCAAGATAGCCAGGTCTACACAGAGAAACCCTGCCAAAAATTAAAAAAAAGAAGGAAGAAAGAAACGTAAAGAAGGCACACCTTCTTTCTCCAGGAACCCTCCAGAATTTGATAGCTATCACCAGTCTTGGCTTGCTTTCATTTCTTCCTTCCTTCTTTTTATGTCTAGGTGTATGTACATACATCACGTGCATGCCTAGTGCCCACAAGGCCAAAAGAGGATATTGGAGTTACAAATGGTTGTGAGCTGCCCTGTGGGTGCTGGGAATTGAACCTGGATAACTGGAAGAGCAGCCAATGCTCTTAACCACTGAGCCGTCTCCCCAGCCCCCACTCTTGGTTTCAGACTGAAGCAGTTATCCTGCTAGACTGGAACTGTGCATCTGGAGACAGCTATGCCACCTCATCTCAGCCTTTCCACGTGTCCTCTATATCCTCTCAGCCTTGCTTACTTGCCTGTCTGATGGCAGTGCTCCTGTGGACCACAGGCTATACCGTGCGTGTCTTGGGTTAGTGGTTCATTGAAAAATATTGCTGTGGTTTGGCAGATTCCTGACTTCATTCCTAATATCTTTTCCTTCTGCTTCAGAGGACTTCACCAGTTCAGAGTCCAAGATCACCGCAACCACCTGGGAAGAGTCAGTCTCTACAGAAGAAGCAAGGGGACTCGCCTGAAACCGGGGCTTGCAGGTAGGGAGCTGGCTCTGGAGCATGGGGAGATGCAGCCTGCAGCATGATCCACTCACTGCTTGTCCCAGCCCCTGCTTAACTGCATCTGTGCTGGGAAATTGAGACATGTGAGAAGTCTCAAGGGTGCGCTGTCAGACCAATGATTCATGGAACACTCTGAGTTTGACTTAAGCCTGCAGGGATTGGAAAATTCATAGTTTTTCTGCTCAAAGATGAAGTTAGTAACCAGACATTTTTATTCCAGCAATGTTTCAAGTAGTTTAGCTTCATGATCAGAGCTAAAAATGAGAAAGAGTGAGGCTTCCATGGGGCTTAATATGTGGTTATGCGCAGTCTGTAATCCAGGGTGGAGGCCGTAGAGGGAGGTGTGGCACTGGGCCACAGACACAAGATCCAGAAAGCCCTTCCTCAGGCCACCCAGGGAGGCTGGTGGGTAGATTCCAGAAGCCAACATGGCCACATTGTGGCCATGGCATGTGGCCAGTTCAAGTGTAGCCTGTTGGTCAGTGGCCCCTCATTGTGACCACGGCCAAGCCTGGTTTTCATGACTCCCTACGAAACCTTTTTCTACCCAGTGTTCTGCAGCCTCAATTCTAGAGGTATTCACAAGCTGAAAGCCCACGGATGTGAATACTTGGTCCCCAGCAGGGATACAGGCCGAGCACAGTGGAGTCCATTAGAAACCACTTGTGGGTTCGAGTCATGAACAAGCCTTGGATCTGGTTGCTGTAACTCTCTCGGACAGCTCCCAGAGCCTGTAATTTCAGGCTTTGATGGAAAAAAACAGGAGTTCCTAGGACCAAGACTTCAAAATCAAGTGATCAGTCCCTGTCACAGGCAGTGAAACTAGGTCACGGCATGTTTCGTCATAGGCATTTTAAGCGTCCATGTAAAAAGTGACAATGTTTTACTTCGGATATGTGAAAGTGGCCCCTGGTGGCAGGAACCGCATGCTGAGAAAGTGAATGTTTTCTGGGTAGCTTGGGTAGTGGTGCCCAGAGGAAATTCTTGCTTCTTCTTGGCATGAATATTCACTTCTTTAGGGGAATGGTCAGACGGGGCATAGTATTTTATTGGGTCACAGGGGTGATTTTTTTTTTTTTTTTTTTTTTTTAGATACATGAGTCTCACTATGTAGCCTTGACTGGCCTAGAACTCTATATGTAGACCAGGCGGCCCTTAAACTCAAAATCCACCCACCTCTGCCTCTGGGGAACTGAGATAAAAGGGGTACAACGCTAGTCTGGGCACAGGAGTGATACTTCGCATTGCATCTGACCTTTGTTGTCTCAGCATGGGGGCCTCCTTTGTCCCCCCCCCCATCTTCTCTATCAGCTGTTCCATGTTCACAAACTCTTTATCCAAGTAATAGGGAAAAGCTTTTAGTAGTTGCAGCTATCCAGACTTCTAGGTTGACTCCAATGACACGAGACTAATAGAGTTATATTTTTTTCTGGGATCCCATACCCGGGAACCCACTGCTGGCTGAGACTCAAGGCCCAGGTCTTCCTGTCTCATCCTCAGGGAGTCCTGGGGTCTCTAAGGAGACTAGGGGACAGGTTCCCTTTGCTCATAGATTTCCAAGTAACTGTACCTCAAGGCTCTTCTGTTGCTTGCTCCTCGGTGTTAGTCAATTATTATTTTTCCCTTGAAGAACTGTCTCTCGTGGGCATGTGACCTGGGCATGAAAAAGATGGTGGGTGTCTAGGAACAGGCAACATCCTAGTCACAACTGAAAACAGGGTGGACTTCGGTAAATGAATGCTTGTCCCCACTCAGAGCCGGGACTCATCCCAAAGCCACCCTGCCCCTGTATCCTTCATACACTCAGGATGTTTATAGGAGACAAGAAGGGGTTAGGCTCTGTGTGGGTCACAGCAGCCTTGGCATCACTCAGAAGGATGGCAGTGTGATACTCACTTGCACACGGGTGCCAGACACCATGCCAAATCAGCTATGGCTACAAAATGAAATTTTGCTCTCTTTGTACCAATTCAGCTTTGATTCTGAATCCTTAATTCTGCCAGGCTGGCAGGAATTCCCACAACTGCTATCCTTGGGACACTCCTTTTCTATTGTATTTACTTATTTATCTATCTATCTATCTATCTATCTATCTATCTATCTATCTATTTATTTATCTGTTGAGATACAGCCTCTCTCTACATAGACCTGGTTGTCCTAAGCCAGGCTTGCCTTGAATGTACAGAGATTCAACTGCCTCTGCCTTTCAAGTGCTGGGATTAAGGGTATGCACCACCACACCCAGACCGATGTCCCTTTTCTAAAGTCTGGTGTATTGAGGTTGTCGCATGACCTCTACTCCCCCATACCACCACTAAGATACCTATGCCACCTGTAACCTTTGCCACATGACCATTCTCTTGGGGCTGCTTCCTCAATGTTCATCCACCTTTTCAGTAAGCTTTCTTGTAAGACTATCTTTGGATTGCCAGCCCCCAAATAATGACACAGAGACTTATTATTAATTATTAAAGCTTGACCTTTAGGTTAGACTTGTTTCCAACTAGCTCTTAGAACTTAATTAACCCGTATTTTTTTTAACGTTGTTTTTTTTAATATTTATTTATTTATTATGTATACAATATTCTGTCTGCATATATGCCAGCAGGCCAGAAGAGGGCACCAGACCCCATTACAGATGGTTGTGAGCCACCGTGTGGTTGCTGGGAATTGAACTCAGGACCTTTGGAAGAGCAGGCAATGCTCTTAACCACTGAGTCATCTCTCCAGCCCATTAACCCGTATTTTTAATCTACATTCTGCCACATGGCTCAGCTACCTCTCCTCAGGACGGCGTGTCCAATTTGCTCTGGTGAAATCCGTATGCCTAGATTCCTCCTCCTCTTCTCTCTCTCTCCCTGGAAATCCTGCCTATTCTCTCCTGCCTTGCTATTGGCCATTCAGCTCTCTATTATACCAGTTACAGCAATACATCTTCACACAGTGTACAAATATCCCACAAAACACCTCTGAGCCTCAGAACATGGTCAGGAAGCCAGGAGAGGGATTCTCACCATTACCCCGCCCCTCCACGCCTACCAACCTACCCCACCCCACCCCACCTCCATCCCCACCCCTATCCAGGACTTTGCTCTCTCATCTTTACGTCCATAATGGCCCTAACTGAACAACCGGCACCCACCCTGAAAGGCTGCAGGGTTTTACAGAAGCTAGGCACAGCCATGAACGTCGGACCGTGTTTTCTCCTTGCCCAAGCTGCAGAGATGAGAAATGCAGGAAGATGTGCAGCGGCTGGGGGGTGGGAGGAAAACCGTGGCCCTCCTTCTCCTTTGGCCTCTGCATCTATGAACACAGTGCCCTGCGGACAGGGGAACTGCCCTCGTGATGAGCACACACAGATTTAAAAATTGTCCCCTAAACAATATAGTGGGATATCTATTTTTATTGTTAGATATAAGTAATCTAGCAAGTCATAGTGGAGTGGAACTCACTCTGAACCCAGCACTTGGAGCCGAGGCAGAAGGATCACCATGAGTTAGAGGCCAGGGTAGGCTACAACAAAGCATACAGCCAGACATTGTCCAAAAAACAACAGACAGACAGATTTTTAAAAGAATCAAGATGATTTAAAGTATTTGGGATAATATACCGTGGGTTTGGGTAGGGGGAACTTGAGCACCCTTTGATTGGGGGAGGGGGGGCGCTAGAGCCAGCAAATATTCTCCATATTCCCTATATCCTCAGCAAATATGGAGAATGTAGAAAGAAAAAGACACAAATTAATATCACCAAAGAGTCTCTCAGCTCAGACTTTATCGCCACACCACAGACAAGGACACAGACTTGAAGCACTGCCTGATCTTCGTTAACAGTAGAAAGTCCACTGATTTGCCTCAAGAACGGCCCCTCTCAGCCCTGGCAGTGGCACCTCCGAGCGCATGAACTGGCATTTTGGAGCCCATTCACTACTGTGGGATACCTTGCTCAGCCTAGATACTGGGGTAGGGGCTTGGCCCTGCCTCAAGCTGGTATCCCAGACCTTGACAACTCCCCAAGAAAGGCCTTATACCCTCTGAGGAGTGGATGGGGGGGGATGAAAAACGGGAGTGGGAGTGGGAAAAGGGGAGGGAGGGGGAACTGAGGTTGGTATGTAAAATGAAAAGTAAATTTTTTTTAACAAAATAATATGAAAACAAAGACCCACCCCCCTCTTGGAATTATAGTAGATCCAGGGGCTTACATGGCCTCCCGGGGTAGGTTCCTCACCTAGAGAGGAGCTTGTCCAACTGCCTTCTTCCTGATTGCCACACGGTGTCACTGTTATAACTTGACCTTACATAGTCCAAACTCATTAAGTGTCCGTCCCTGCCTGGATTTGGGTTCTTGAGGGAAGTCAGTCCTGGGCCCCCCAGAGTAAAGCTATCTTAATCCAGGTAACACCCCTACCTGCTCCCCTGTCTACCCAATACAGCCGGCCCAGATGTCTGCATCTGGACTGGTACCAACAGCTAAGAGTGGTAGCCTTACAAAGTGCAGCTGACCTTGTCACATAACCGTCATAGAAGAGCAAGCTATGGGGCCTCAGTGGAGGAAGCAGGGCAGGAGTCCCGGAGCGTCTTTGGAGAAACTTCCACTCAGGAGAAGCCAGGATCTTTGACTATGCCACAGAAAATACAATATGATTTCAAAGTCAGAGTTTAGTGATGAAAGATATTAAAAAATATTCAAGGGGCTGGAGAGGAGACTCGGCAGTTAGATGTGCTTACTGCTGTCGCAGAAGACCAGAGTTCAGGTCCCAGCATCCAGATCAGGTGTCTCACAACTGCCTGTACTTCCAGCTCTAAGGTATCCAGCACTATAGTGTGTCTTCTGAAGATACACACGTTCACATGCATATACATATATACATGCATGCATACATACATATACAAATAAGTAAAAATAAATCGTTTTAAAGATTAAATAAACTAGATTGAATCGTGTGTGTTCTAGATCAGACAGATGCTCATGAGAGA